GTTCAGAATTTTAAAAATTTTATTTACCTATACGTGTACAAAGCTTACCTCAGGACTTCGTATTTAAGAAACAAAATGTTAATTAGTGTGATTAATACTAATTAAGTATACCTGAATGTGTGTGTATTGATGTGTTTGTTTATTTTGATATGTTTTGTAGTGAATTGTTGACGAAAAAAATATTTATGTACGTTTGTAGAACTTAGATTACAACAAACTTACATAAAAAAAATGTCTTAGTGTGTTTCTATTACTAAACTCAGGTTAAAAAAATTAGAAGTATATATTATTTTTTTTAGTTCGTTTATAATAAGCAAAACCAAGATATGGTCTAAAACTATCAAAAGTAATAATTTCTTAATATTAATAATAATTTCTATTTGTGTTAATAATTATTTTCTAATATGAGTTAAACTCGTTAGTTTGTTTGAATTTATTATAAGAATAAAATTTAAAAAAAAACTCTCCACTTGGTGAATGTGATGTATAAAGAAAAAATTCAAAATTTGATAAATTTTTAGGATATATGAAAAATATTAATTAATATAATTAATGTAATGATTATTAATATATTGTAATTTAGAAATTAAACTAATATTAATTGTAAGATATACAAAATGTTAACACAGTACCTAAATGTAGCAAACAACTACCTCGCAGATTGTAAACAACTACCTCGTAATAGAAATATTAAATAGTAATAAAATACGTACATATATACATATATATATATATATATATATATATATATGTATATATGTGTTTATATATACAAGCACCTACCTCACAGTACGAAATCAAACTACCTCAACGTGTATTTGTATGTAAAACCTCAAACTTACCTGAATTTTTAGCATAATTTTATTTATATATACATATTAATATGATTAAAAGTGTATACTGTTTGCTTAAAACGTTTTGTAATTTTGTAATTACAAATTTGATTCGATTTTAACAAAATCTTAGTAGAATCGAATAAAATCTGATTGGAATCTACGCGAATCGAACAAAACTTGATTATTTAATTCTAAACATAAATTCTCTTGAAGATAAATTGTATAATTAAATTATTCATTTATATATATGATTTAATTATTTATATTTATATTTTTACTAGATTTTTGACTCGATATTTGCTGATTCAAATCAAACAACCGAAATCAATTCGAATCAAGATGCAATTAAAATTAAATTTTTTATTTCAAAATCAATTGAAAAAATTGAATATTTTTATGAATAGAATTTATTTTGTTATTCATTGACAATTTTCTAATTCGAATCACATAAAATCGAATTTGAATCTTAAATTAGACTTGAAAGTTTCTTGATTCGAATTACAAAAAATCGCATTCGAATAAATGTGAATCAAGTTCAATCAAATAACAATATATAAATAATTTATTTAATTTGAATTCAATGGAACAAATTGACTATTTTTTTAAATTATATCAAGATTTGTTTGTATTAGGGATTTTATTAGAGATTTGAGTTGAATTGACATTTTCCTGATTGAATCACGTTTTCCTGATTGAATTGAACTTTATTCGAATTTATTATAAATTTCTTTTGTGATTAGAATGAAGAAAATATCAAGTCGAATCAAGCTTTAATTTGACTTGACATTTTATTGATTTGAATCACAAAAAAATCAAACTCGAATCAATTTACAAATAATTATTGGCAAATCTATGGCACTTTTTCAATATTTTTATAACTACACCTATTTTTTGAAATTTTTGTGTTAAACACTAGGCAAATAATTTTAAATATATATTTTGAAAATTAACATTACCAGTTCACAACAAATTTAATAAAAAAAAATATTGACAGTCTTTCTTTACAAACGACAAACTAAATTTAGTCATTAAATGGTAAAACTTACACTAAGGATAAAATAAAAGCATCTATATAAATAATAATTAAAATTTATATGGAATTATATTATATTTTTATCTTATAAATAAATTTCAATCCTTACAGGGGTACTTTAATATTAATCCCTATGATTCGTGTATTACAAAACTGTTTTTTTTTTTAATTATAAAATGATGCAATTTATATCCTCTTCAATATGTAATTTACTACAGAAGTGCTTTTTAATTATTTTATATTATATCTGCACAATTAATTAATTAATTTCTAATTGTATCTGCACTTTTAATTTTAATTAAATCAATTTATTTATAATTAAAACTACTTTTCTTTGGCTAAACAGCTAAAATAATCAAATACAGAAAAAAAATTGATAATCCGAGTATAAAAACAGAAACATTTGTTAATATAAAATTATTTATATGTGTAAACAAAATACACTTAAAAATCTTGTATTACAATTCTAACAAAACTGTTTTAAGCAAATAGTTTATAATTTAATTTATAATGTATATATATATATATATATATATATATATATATATATATACATGATGAGATGTATTTAAACAAATAAAAAGTAGATTTGAAGTGATACGATTAAAAAAATCTAAATGTGCAAAGATTTTTTGAAAATTCTTGGATTATTATAATACTAATTAAATATACATATGCAACTATATATATATATATATATATATATATATATATATATATCATTGCATATGTATCTATTTCTCTAAGCACTATAAATTCTGAATATAGTTAGTTCTTAATAAAATTGAAAATGTACAAATACTAGTTTAATAATTGACATCACAAAGTGATGCAAAATTTAGATTATTTAATAATTAAAATAATTATATCTATGCATTATATATGCATATAGATATACATATATACATATATGTATAAGTGATCGATTTTGTATATGTGATGTATATTTATATACATATATATGAAGAAAATATTTGCATGGGTGAACAAAACCTTGTTTTTATGTTGTATGTATGTTATCTAATAGTTAATAAATAATAAATGAAATTAAATCAATGATAATGGATTTTTTTAATTTGATAGCCAAAATTTATAAATTATATTTAGTTTTTTAGTAGAGTAAGTTATAGTAATCGCAAAAAAATCGAAAATGAAAATTTTTACATATCTTTACGTTTCAGGGGTTTCTGAACAGTTTGGCTTGCCTTAGAAAAAGTGGATGTATGTGTATGTGTTTGTGCGTTTTTTTTCTGTATGGCGAAGGAAAAGCCTTTATGCATACCAGACTAGGTCTTTTATCTGGGTATGTCGGACTCAATACCGCTTAGGTACAATATATTACGGAAACGATTTTTTATTCACGATTTCGGGCGCACGGATCAACCGATTTGAATGATTAAAAAACCAGTCGATTCCTATTGATAAGAAGACGAGCTGATTAGTTTTCAGCAAAGGCAGGTCTAGCCGTTACGGAGATACGGAGCAAAGAGTGCAGAAAATAGAAATCGAGTTTTTGAAAGAAAGGGGCGTCCGATTTGAATCATTCAAAAAACATTCGATTTGTATTAACAGGGAGAAGTGGTGATTAGTTTTTGACAAAAGCAGGTCCAGCCGTTTCGGAGATACGGAGCTAAATGTGCAGAAAATTGTGGTTTTTAAGAGAACTAAACATCCGACAAAGGCAAGTTGCAAAAAATAGCAGTTTTTGAGAGAACTAAGCATCCGATTTGAATGATTAAAAAAACATTCAATTTATAATGATGGGGAGAAGTGGTGATTGGTTTTTGGCAAAGGCAGGTCCAGCAGTTTCGGAGATACGGAGCAAAGAGTGCAGAAAATAGAAATGGAGTTTTTGAGAGAAAGGGGCGTCCGATTTGAATGATTCGAAAAACATTCGATTTGTATTAACAGGGAGAAGTGGTGATTAGTTTTTGACAAAGGCAGGTCCAGCCGTTTCGGAGATACGGAGCTAAATGTGCAGAAAATTGTGGTTTTTAAGAGAACTAAACATCCGGCACAGGCAAATTGCAAAAAATAGCAGTTTTTGAGAGAACTAAGCATCCGATTTGAATGATTAATAAACCAATCGATTCCCATTTATAGGGAAATGTGCTGATTCGTTTTTGGCAAAGGCAGGTCCAGCAGTTTCGGAGATACGGAGCAAAGAGTGCAGAAAATAGAAATCGAGTTTTTGAGAGAACGGAGCATCCGATTTGAATGATTCAAAAAACATTCAATTAGTAATGAATAGGAGAAGAGGTGATTAGTCTTTGGCAAAGGTAGGCCCAGCCGTTAAGGAGATAAAGAGCAAAGAAAGAAATTTGTTTATCTCAAAATTAGTTTTTTTTAAATATTTAATACATTTTTTTACATTTCAGATAGTAATTTTGATTCTAACTAATATATCAAAAATACTTCACTTCACTTATATATCAAAAATAAATAATTTTAACATTGCAATTCAGTTTATATAATTCTTAGAAATATGAGATAAGATCCTTTTAATCTAACTCCGTTTGATCCTCGTTTGTTCATATACGTTTTCATGTAAACATATAAAAACCTTGTCGTCTTGTTTATAAGCTCTTATATTTCGGCTATAAAATACGATTAATGAATGTTACAGTATTTATAATAATCTATTAGAAAACATTTGAAATTCCTTGAATATTTCATTACGATGAGAAGTTCCAGCAATTTGCTTTAGGGCATGATATTATACACCACTAGTTTATAAGTTGATAGTTGTTTTTAGTTGAAATATAATTTTATAGCTTGGAATTTGGCGTTTTTTAAATGTACACCTATTAGTTGTGAATAAAATAAAGTCAAATTTGTCTAAAACCACATGAGAAACACCAAAAGTGCTGTTGTATTAGCCTAAAAAATAAATTATACTCAAAATAAACAAGTTTTACGTTAAATTTATAACTTAAAAACCAAAAATCAATAGCGATTCAAATAAAACTATAACTCCGTCTATTACCATTTTCAAATTTGAACTGTTTCAATTTTCCCGCCGCTCTCCGCTGGCAACACCATCTGTCGCTGTTTGTGACAAATCCGCGCCGAGTTCACAGTGGACATACCTACGTGCAAATGGAATGTCACTTTTGCATTTTCTAATTAATTTTTGACAATTTGAAACGTGAAAAACAACATTAAACCATTTACTAATCATTAAAAAAAATGTCCAAATGCATCCTTCACTTTACAACCTTTATTAACAATGATTGTGAGTTGGTTCGAGTGTAAAAGTGTGTATTTTGTTTCGAGCCGTCGTCGTCGTCGTCGAGATTATTTCAGTGCGAATTAGATTTAAATGGAGTTATTTGTGATGTGATTTATAGGAAGATAGAAAGGAATTTGTAGATGTGGTAAAGATTATAGTAAATGATGATGGACATGAATAACAGAGATAATAAATACGCGATGGACGCACAGGATTCTTATGACACCAGACAGGTAAAAAGGATAATAATAATAATATACACTTATTTATACACAAAATCCTTGTCCATTACCAATATGTCTACTCCCAAAGCCTTTTACAAAGTATTTTTTACTAAGGCCACTTTTAATAATATGCATCCATGACGTAAGCTCGGTTCCATGACAAATGTGACAAAAATAACAAATTATTCACATTTCCAATATATTTACCAATTATTTTATTGCAGGTGTTAATAAAGCATTGTTGGATATTTTTAAAAATGTTATTGAAGTCTTGTTAATATTATTTTAATTTGTTGAAATTTTGCAGACAATTTGAAGAATGTCAATGTGTGGGTTGTACTGTACTATTTAGGTGTAAAAGACTTTTTGTAGAGAATTTTAGAAAGAATTTGGGTTATTTGATTGAGGAATTGCATCATAATGCAATTTTTATGTGCATTTGTAAATTTTGGAGGTAATCTGTCAGAAATGTGTTGAGGCTCGATGAAACTAACCTTTCTTTACTTTTTGTACCAAAACACTTTTCTTCAGAATTTTGTTTTAAAATTACAAGAATTTGTAGTATTTGCACTCAAGGATTGCATTTTTATGCATTTTTAATGTTTATTTATACATTTTGAAGGTAATTTTTTGGAAGTGTATTGAGACTCGATGAAACTAACCTTTCTTTACTTTTGTGCCATAAAACTTTCAGAAGACTTTTCTTTATTAGAGTTTTGTTTTGAAATTGTAAGACTATAATTTGGAATATTTGACTCAAGAAGTGCATTTTTATGCAATATTGTCTCTTACAAACTTTGAAGCTAATTTGTCAAAATTGTATTGTGACTTGATGAATCTAAACTTTTCTTTAGAATTTTGTTCCGATATTGCAAGAATTTGGAATATATGACTCAAGAGTTGCATTTGAATGCACTTGTATTGTTTATTTATAAATTTTGAAGATAATTTGTTAGAATTGCATTGAAACTCATTGAAACTAATCTTCCTTTACTTTTGTGCCATAAAACTTTGGAAAAGACTCTTCTTCAGACTTTGGTATAGAATTTGCAAGACTTCTATGATATTTGACTCAGGGTTTGCATTTTTATGCACTTTAATTGTTTATTTATAATTTTGAAGGTAATTTGTCAGAAATTGAGATGAATTTAGAGGGTAATCTGTAAGAAATGTATTGAGATTCGATGAATCTAACCTTTCTTTACTTTTGTGCCAACAAACCTTCAGAAGACTTTTCTTAAAAGTTTGGTTTTGAATTTGCAAGAATTTGTAGTATTTGATTGAGAAATTGTATTTGTATACTACTTTGTTGTTTATTTATAATTTTGAAGATAATCTGCCAGAAATGTTTTGAGAGTCGAGGAAACTAACCTTTCTTTACTTTTGTGCCAAAAAAGTTGCCGAAGACTTTTCTTTGAAATTCTGTTTTGAAATTGCAAGTATTTGGGATATTTGACTCAGGAATTGCATTTTTATGCTACATAATTGCTTATTTATAAATTTTGAGGTTAATTTGTTAGAAATGCATTGAGACTCGATGAAACTAACCTTTCTTTACTTTCGTGCCAAAAAAGTTTCAAAAAACTTTTCTTTATCAAAATTTTATTTTGAAATTGCAAGACTTAGTGGTATTTGACTAAGGATTGTATTTTTATGCAAATTTATTGTGCATTTATAAATTTTGAAGTTAATCTGCCAGAAATGTATTGATAGTCGATGAAACTAACCTTTCTTCACTTTTGTGACAAAAAAATTTCAAAAGACTTTACTTTAGACTTTGGTTCTGAAATTGCAAGATCAGGAATTGCATTTTGGTTCAATTCTAGTGTTTATTTATACTTTTGAACGTAATCTGTAAGAAATGTATTGTACTGTTTACTTAATTTTTGAGACTCGATGAGACTAACCTACCTTGACTCAATGAAACTAACCTTCCTGTCTTTGTTTTCACCAAATTTATCTATCTATAAACTGAAGAACTATATTTGTTACCTTGTAAAATATATACTTTAATTAATATTATCTTATATGGATTTTATATAATTATATGCTAATAATTATAATATAATTAATAATCTCTCAGAAATGTTTAGTTGATTTTTAAGGCTCGATGAACCTAACCTTCCTGTCTTTGTTTCCACCAAATTTGTTTGTATATAAACTAAAGAACTATATTTGCTTTATTTTAAAATTTACATTTCAATTAATATTATCTTTTATCGATTTTATAAAATTATATTTATATATACCTATTTATTTATTTTTTATGATAGATTATTAAAGGACAGACTCGAGTAAATCATATATGAAAGAAATAATGTGATTTATACTTGATACTAATAAATAAGAATATAAAGTGAATGTTTGTCCACAATTTAAAAACAAAGCTTGAATTTTTAAAAATGACATCTTACAATTTTTCCATTTTGTCGAATAATAATTGATAAATGTATGCAATTCATGTCAAATCAACTTAGTATCAGTATTCAATGATATAAATATCCATATCCAATATCAAATATAAAATATTTAGATTTTAAATGGAATTTGTACGTTTGTTATTTGAATACATTTTTATACATTATAAAAAAGATCCTAAAACCTACTTTGAATGAAACTTATATACAGACAAATGTAAGCTGAGACAACAAAAAAAAAATCCATTGATGTAATTGTTTAGTAGATGCTTTAAATAATATATTATTTGCAATTATTTCATTGTTTGCTATTATTTGTCCTACTAAAATATTGTTGGACTGTGGAAGACCAGTGGTTTAATTTTAAACATTAATACACACCGTGTATGTCCTAAGAGTGCCTTCGTATATGGTAATTGTTTTATTTATTTGGAAAATTACATTTTCACCTAGTTTATTTCAATTTGTAATTTTTTTTGAGAAAAATAAATGACTGTAAGCTGATAAAAATTTTCAGCCTCTGATTTTTCTGCAAAAAATGTTATTAATTCATTGTTTTCCATTCTTTTCCATACTAAAATATAGTAGGGCTGTGGAAGACCAGTGGTATATTTTAAAAAGTTATCAACGTTTTTTGGTAACTCTTTAGGATATACACCGTGTATGTCCTAAGAGTGCTTTCATATATGGTAATTATCTTATTTATTTGCAAAATTATATTTTTACCTGAATTATTTCATTTTTTCCAATTTTCTTGGGAAAAATTACTCAAAGCTGATAAAAATTTCCATCTTCAGATTTTGCAAAACAAATGTTATTATTTTTTTTTTAGCCATACTTAAATATTGTAGGGCTGTGGAAGACCAGTGGTTTAATTTTAAAAATTAAGGAACGTTTTTTGGCAATTCTTTTGGACATATACCGTGTATGTTCTAAAAGCGCGTTTGTATATTGTTATTTTGTCATTTTTTAATTTTTATCTAGTTTATTTCAATTTGCAATTTTCTTAAGAAAAAAATGACTGTACCTGATAAAAATTTTCAGCGTCTGGTTTTTCTGCAAAAAAATGTTATCACATACTCGAAAGAGTACTTTTTGTTTGTGTTCTATATAATTAACTTATCACTTTAATTAATTGTTATCGGTGCAATTGCAAATTGGTAGTACATTCTTGAGAAATTGAAATTATTTCGTTTGTTTGTTTCGAGTTATGCGATTGGTATTTGAGGAATTTTATAAATGCATTTGGGAATTCAAATATTTTAGTGAAATGTTTTAATAGCTTTAAATGTTTTTTCTTGTTTTCAAACCTTAGACAAAAATAAACAATAATTCTTCTTGGTGTATCGTTTATCTTTTCAGATGAAAATTAGCCAAAAACCATCCTTCATCCTTGTCCTGGTTAACCATAAGGATGGTTTGGCTAATTCCTTGCTAGATTTCCTTCAACATTCTAGTCAAATTTTGAAGTCCATGATATCTAAATGAATGTATTTATAAGTAGGGTTGGTAAAAAAATATTTCTTATACATTGATAAAATTTGATACATCAATAAGATTTGATTTTAGCAACAATTTAAATTTTTACGATTTTTTTTGGCCATTTTTATGAAACTTTCTATGCCGATATAAAGGAACATGCTCCAGGTGAACATTAGACAAACCATCCTTCAAATTTTGAAGTCGATGATAACCAAATTAATATATTTACAAGCGGAGTTGGTAAAAAAATATTTTTATACATTTGTGATTGTTAAGGTTTTTATCAACATCTTTAGAGTTAATAAGGTCCAAAAAGATTTATAATTTCGGATTTTACAATTGGGTTCGGAGGTGGAAATAGTTGTCGGAAGGATTGAAGTAGGAACTTTTTACCATAATGAAAGTATTGTTCTTTATTTTCAGAATTGTTCTTGGAATAAGTGTTTATATTTCACTCGTTTGTACTATTTTAAACGACTTCCGGCATTGTTGTCGTTGGAAATGTATTTTTAGGGCATCATGTTTAAGGATAAACATCCACACATATGGTGAATGACAAAATTTAAGGAGCAAATTAAGGACGATAATAAATTATCAGGCTTTTGTGTGTGTGAATCACTAAATTAAAAGTAAGACTAGTGGTACATGGCATCGTGCCTTAAGGCAAATTGCTAGAAATTTCCGTACCAGAATTAAATATTCGAATATAAAAAATTGAAAATCAATAAATATTGATCAATGACTAATAACAATTGTTTTAAAAAAATTTAAAGATATAATTAACTTCCCGTAGGGTAAGTTATAGTAATCGCAAAAAAATCAAAAATGAAAATTTTTATATATCTTTACGTTTCAGAGGTTTCTGAACATTTTGGCATACCTTAGAAAAAATGGATGTATGTGTGTGTGTGTGTGTGTGTGTATGTATGTATGTATGTATGTATGTATGTATGTATGTGTGTGTATGTATGTATGTGCGGATACAAATTTTCGTCGACGATTTCGGGAACACGGATCAACCTATTTGAATAATTCAAAAAACATTCGATTCGTATTAATAAGGAGACGTGCTGATTAGTTTTTGGCGAAGGCAGGTCTAGCCGTTCCGAA